CAAATTTGTCAGAGTGAGAAACATGGTCAGAGATAAAACTGCGTTATAGGCCAAGCACTTTCCCAAAGAATCTCCCAACAAAATATGCAAGCTTTACATTAAAAGGCTACTTTGCGCTGCCCTTAATTCCCTACCTAAACGGTTTTGCTCTGGGAGAAGAAATCTTCTCTAAAAACCCTTCAAGAAGAGAAGGGCATTATTGCCCTAATCCTCTTACCCGCAGTCATTTTAAGACAGGGGTTTTTGGAGGCTGAGATGGCGTCTTGTCTTCCCTATCCCATCCCAAATCCTTCCAGGCCGGGAGAGAGTCTAAAGGCAGCACCCTGGCATCTATTAGCCATCTCTCTAAAGTCTCCCTCTTCTCCAGTGGCATGGAGAAAAAGCCGAAGAGCAAACAAACTAAAGGTTGGTTGGTTTTCTTCACAAAACGTAAGGAAAGGGAAATTGGTTTCATGCACCAAGTGCACACAAGAAATTTGAGGATATGGGATTTGAGAAACAAAAAAATTAAAATAAAAATCACTTTTTATAGACCTAAACATTCAATACGGTTCATTTCACAATTTAAAAAAAAGTTGATGAACTCTTCGGTTAAATAAAATTAAATTCAGGGTATAATTCATTCATTCTCACTTTTTATACCTAAACTTCCGCTTGTTAGTCAAAGCTGCAACCTTGAGGTTCAGGAGAGCCATCATGTTTGAATCAAATTACAGCTCACATTTCCAAAAAAAAAAAAACCCAAAAAACAACAACAACAAAAACAAAATGCAGCCTATTATTTTAATAATATCATGAAGAAAAGCAATATCTACACATCTGCCAAAATGGATCCATTAAAAAGCTTCACCCCTCACTTCTGCGGTTTGTTTATCAGGGAGAATAAAAAAACGTGTAGACAGACACGGAGGGATTTAGCGGACATAATGTGCTTAAATTGATCATATTTGAAAATAACTCCAGAAGTCAGTGCACCAAAGCCTGCCGCTGAACGATCAACTATCTTCTTTATATGACTGACAGCGCGGAGAGCCAATAGAAAGCCAGCGTGGCCCCCGCGAGGCTGCCCTTAAAATCCCTCCACCGGGCTCTCGCGCACCAGCAGATGGCGGCTTCCCACGTCTGCACGAGACGCGGAGAAATCAGCACGAGGAGAGGAGACAGAGCTCTGTGCAGGTGGAGCGTGAGCGAGCGAGCGAGCGGACTTGAAGTTGAAGCAACAGACTGGATGACTTTTTCACTGCCCTGACTTGTTCAATTCAAACCGGACAAAAGGACGGAGAAAAGTGGGCACTAAAAAACCGACACACAGCAGCTGCACGAGCAGAGAAAGCTGAAGCCTGAAGAAGTTGAGGAGCTTGGATTCTCTGTGCCGTCTGCGAGGAAGTGGCAGAAAAGACTGTCTCCACAAGAGGTAAAATCTCCTTTAACCTTTAATCTCTGTTCAGTATTTGTGCTTTTTAAAACTGTGTCAAAAACGCTTGTCTGTTCATGTAGTAAAAACCTGTCCCTCAGTCACTCTGACATAATTTGAGATTGTGGTTTGTTTACCCACTGTGTGCTGTGATGATTTTGTACATGTTATGCTAGTTACTGTGACAAATGTTACCTGGATTTATTTTGTCATTTGGTGAGGAAAAACAGTTTGGAAATTTATGTTTTATTAAATGTGGATAGTCTTATGTGCACCCAAAATGTATGATGGGAGAGCTGAAATTCATAACGACAACATTATAAATAATTGGTTAAATTAAATAAAAAAAATAAATAAAAAGCTTGTAATAAGTTAACCCTTACCAAGAACCTCCTTGTTTTGCGCGAGCTCAGTGACACCCAAAATAAAATAGTTCGTTCCAGGACCGTGGTCTCTTCTGAAAGGGAACACTTTGGAGTTTACCATTAGAAAGGACATAATCACTGTGAAGTGACACTGAATCAAATTTACAGAGAAACATAACGTGAGGTTTTTTCTCCTTCTTATTAAAACGTTGTGTGCTGTATAGATAGAAAAATAATCAGCTACTGTGCCAGTGACATTGGGTTCTCTTTAACAGACTTCATAAATGTTGCAAATAAAATACAATCCCTTTAAATTTCAACTCGGCTTCTGCATAACAAATGTCCTTCATAATAACATGTCAGAGAAAAATCAAAGATGCTCCTCGCCCTCTGACAGTTTACACTAGTGGCACAGCAAAGAGCAGATTGTCAGGTCGACTCCTGCCCCTCAGGGCTGTTAGCAAATAACATTTTTCCTAATTTAGTCGGATCAAAGAGTTGAACTGTACATGCCAATTTACATAATGACGGTCTGATAATCGAAGCATTGAGCAGGGCTGCCAGGAGGGCCCAGAGCCTGGAGCAGATCGAGGCTTATGAATGACAATAACAGCACTGACGGGCTCACAGTGATGAGCTATTGTGCTGAATTTGATATGGGCAGGAGGATACAGGCTATAACCAGAGATGTAGTGGTACATATGAAGCTGGTAATCCTGAGAAGGCAGGCTTAAAGCTCAAAAGTTTAACTGCACAGCAAGACTAAAAACATCCAGATGGACTGCATTTCTTTGCAGCGTTATTACATGCTGCAAAAAGTGAGAATAAAATCAATTGTAGACGTTTAAATCTCTCCAACTTTCATCATTGATCCAGGCAGGCAGGTGTAAACAAATAAAAATATGTTGAGAAACATCATGGGGTGTATTTTTCCCTCATCAATTTTGTGTGATTTGAGCCTTAATCGGATTAAAATGTACACCTTTAATTTCAAAGAAAACATGAAGAAACAAAAAAAAAATCGTTAGTCTATTACCAGAACACACGCACAGGTGCCTGCGCGCGAACACACGCGCACACGCGGGAACTCCAACCCAGAGCTAACCACCCAGTCCCACTGTACGTCCGTCCGTGTCAGCGTTGATGATAAATGGAGGGCCTCGCAGTCGAAACCTATTTGCACTTCCATTAGACGGGGAGCCAAATGGGGATCAACATGCATATTTTTACCCGCGGAGAAGCCATACATCTCAGCCAAAACGTTGCCCCGGGGCGATGGGATAAGAGGCCGCCAGAGAGGGGAAGGGGAGGGGGGAGACGGGGAGGGGGGCCCATTCAACTCAAATACTTGGGGGAGTAAAGTAAATGTTTAGCGAAGCACCTTCTGTCCCGGCGAATTAAACTATTCCCCACTGCCCTCTGATCACATTCATCAGCCGCCGCAGCCACTTAATAGGCTGGGAATGGGCACTGCGGGCATACACACACACACACTCTCACACACACACACACACACACTCTCACACACACACACACACTCTCTCACACACACACACACTCTCTCTCACTCACACACACACACACACACACACACACACACACACACACACACACGCTCGGTCTATGCACTGCACTGACAAACTGAGAAATGGACAGAAAAAAGCGCCTTTTACAAGAACGACCACCCACATTTCTGTTTTATAAAATAGCCAAGGTTTTGTAATAGGCCTGTAATAATATTAATATTATTATTAATATTGACAATAATAATAACAACAACAATAATAATAATAATAATAATAGCCTACTGAAATTAAATGCTTAAATTTCAATTTTACAAAAATTATGAAGTTATAATCCAAATATGTCAACCAGTGATAATGTTACGTTAAAGAGTCCAACCTCGGTTAAATTAACATAAATTAATTTTCTAATTAGCCTACAACTAATATCCTGTCCAATTTCAGAGCATGGATCAATTTAACCCTTTAACAAAATATATCTGGAATTACAACAAATGCTGATTTCTTGTTGATAATTACCCTAATGTGTTGACATTTACAGTTTAGGTCCATACACACTAAAATTGTTGGAAATTGATCAAATTAAATAAAACCAGAACTAGTAAAACCTTAACCTTCTGTCTAAAAATATTTTACAAGTTATCTGTTCTGAATCCAAGAAGTCAGACAGTTCCCTGGATACTGTACCTGTCATACAGCAGAAAGATTTATATCTTTTCCCTGTGGTCTCTCTGTAATAGTTATAATAACTGTTTGGGCCTCCGAGATATCCCCTCTGCCAGCCTCCTCCGTACTAATACATATCTAATCGTGTCCTCAAGCGTTTCATCTATGAAAATCTCGGCCGTGAAGGAGAACTACAAAATAGAGTTTTGGAAAGTGCTAGCCCACCTTTTGAAAGACTATGACATGGATGTTTCCTTTAAAGAAATTAATCTGTTCGTATCAGTATAAAAGCTTTAAATATTTAGGCCTATTATAGTAACAAAAACTAAAGAATATTAAATTGCAAACGTCGCTTTTAAATGTTGCAACACAATTGTTTTTTAATGTGAAAAGACCGTCACTATAATCGAACAGCACTGAAAATAGCATTTCCGTAATCATAGCCCATTAAAAATAATCCTGGTATCCGGTTGCAGGTTTTGCCACCGAGACCCGGAACAAATCTCCTTATATCATTTTCCAACACATTTCATCAAAGCCTTGATCTGTCAATGCGACGTTTTCAATGGGGATTTGGCTTCTCCGGGATCACAGCAACGTGAATAAATTCATGAATAAGGCATCCGTTTCGGTTCATTATGGGAACGAGTGATAATTACCCCAATTAAAAGTCTTTTGTATAATTAATGGAATGAACACAGTGATAATTGGATGTTAATGGATAACACTTTTGTCTGAGTGGGCACATTAAAATCTGTTGGCCCTTCAGCGCGTGGACCTGCAGTCATTAACCAAAAACAGAAAGCTCGTGTGTCATATCACTGGACCACCTATTAATAGATTGTTTTTGAACGCGTTTCTTGTATCTCATAAAAAAAACGGGGAGTGGGTTGAAGATCACATGTTCAATAGCGTCACACCGCATCCATCAGTAGCCACGCGCCCTTGAATAAAAACCCTGAACTCCTGCCTTCTCGTATCTGCAACTCACAACCATTCTCTCCTCTGTTCCGCAGGTAGCGACCTCTCAACATGCAGCACTACGGGGTGAACGGCTACTCTCTGCACGCCATGAACTCCCTCAGCGCCATGTACAACCTGCACCAGCAGGCAGCGCAACAGGCACAGCACGCGCCCGACTACCGGCCGTCTGTGCACGCGCTTACACTGGCCGAGAGACTAGCTGGTAATTGAGTGCATGCTCTCTCTCTCTCTCACACAGTGTCTCTCTCACACACACACACCTTCTGTGCGGATACACACAACAGACTCAGAAGCTTTAACCCTGCATGCATCTTTTTTTGTAAAGCCTGACCAAATCATGTGCATGTTTAATATTTGGACATTCACGATGCAAATAAAGTAGGCTTCCCTGATCCCATTCGCCCAGTAAAATAAAACTTGCCGTGTGTTTTCCCTTCCAACGGCTGCGCATTTCAAGACATCATCCTGGAGGCTCGCTACGGCTCTCAGCACCGCAAACAGCGCCGGAGCCGCACGGCCTTCACAGCGCAGCAACTGGAAGCGCTGGAGAAGACTTTCCAGAAGACCCACTATCCAGATGTGGTGATGAGGGAGCGGCTGGCCATGTGTACCAATCTGCCCGAGGCCCGAGTGCAGGTAGGCCTGTCCTGAAGAGAAATCACTGTGCAATATGGATTTGTTTGCTGCAATCAATAGTGAATTCAGAGGAGCTTTATTATGCTTAATTTTGGTTTTATGCATGAGCCTTTTATTACAGCATTTCTCTCATTTTAATGTGAGATTTTGTATTGTCATGGGGACTAATAAAGTTTTATGTAGTATTTGTACCAACCTAAATTCGCAGGGGTGGACTGATCTATGTTTCTGGGATGAGATTTTTTTAATTAGAAGTAAAGATGAGATGAATCAAAATAATAGAAAAAGAAAAAAAAGATTTGCCACTTTAACTGTGATCTGCATTAATTAAAAAAACCCTAGCTTTACACAATTTGAGCTGAAGATACTGACTGTGCATTATTATAAATACAGAAATAAGAAAAAAAAACATACATATACTTTTAGGGGGTGTTCTTTTTGCTTCTCTCATACTCAGTGAAGCTTCTCATTTAGGCTTGCACAAAGGAAATGCAGGTTATTCATCTGAATACAATAAATTCAAAAATATAGTGTCAATTTAAATACTATTAACATTGTTAAAATTGATGTAAGTTTGATTATGAACATTTGCTTCTAAACTTTTTTACTTTTGGTGCTTTTCTTATGCCATTTAATTATTTAATGCCCACTCAAATCAGCCATTTGGTGTCCATTGAAGTCTCTGCTACAGTTTTCATCCACTGCTGCATATCTTTTCTGCTTGTTCTGCCTCTAACTTGCTCTTCTCCCCTCTGCCATCAGGTTTGGTTTAAGAACCGCAGAGCCAAGTTCCGCAAGAAGCAACGGAGCCTCCAGAAGGAGCAGCTTCAAAAGCAGAAGGAGGCGTCAGGCGAAGGAGGAAGTGAGAAGGAGGACGCACCTCCCTCCACCACCATCCTTCCTGACACCCAGCTGCCTCCTTCATCCTCCTCCTCCTCTTCATCCTCTCTGGAGACAGAAGGTCCTGTGGTCCGTCCTGTACCGCTGGACATGGAGCTGAACGTCACGTCGGCAGAACATTCAGGCAGCGAGTCGGCGACGGAGGATAATGATAACACAGATAAGGAGGATGAGAGTAAATCTCAAAGAGAGGAGATAAAGTGTGAGAGAGCAGTGACACCTGGGGACGTGTCCCCCTGCAAAAGACTCAGCCCTAAACCAGGTAAGAACCTAGGGTGCTTTATTTTGACTAAGAGCTGAATTCCTTTCTTTATCCTTCACAAACACGTGAAACAGATAGCATCCTACATCTGCAACACTCTATTCATCAGCTGACTAATAATTACATTAATGTACTAACAACTTAATCCTCTCTTCTCCCTGTCCAGACTCTCCCCTGGTCTCTCCATCCGTGACCCCCTCCTCCTCCAGCAGTGGCCTGGCCAGCAGCGGGCCTCTCTCTCAGAGCCACTCTTACTCTTCCTCTCCTCTCAGCCTGTTTCGTCTGCAGGAGCAGTTCCGCCAGCACATGGCTGCCACCAACAACCTGGTGCACTACCCTGCTTTTGACCTCGCGGCCCCGTCTTCACTCCCCTACCTGGGAATGAATGTTAACATGCCCCCTGCGCCGCTTGGCTCTCTGCCCTGTCAGTCCTACTACCAGTCCCTGTCCCACCATGCCCAGCAGGTGTGGAACAGCCCGCTGCTTCAGGCATCGGCTGCCGGCAGCCTCACCAGCCACAACAGCAAGACCACAAGCATCGAAAACCTGCGTCTGAGGGCCAAACAACACGCTGCCTCACTGGGACTGGACACAATGTCTAACTGAGAATCAGATTGTATGGAGGACAATGTAAACTAGGCCACAGCCTCGGCCTACAAATCATCCCATCCAACTGCGTGTCTATGTGACTGTGATAGGTCTTTAGGAGCTGTATACTGACCCCTACTTGAGCAGATGGGCACACGACATGCAGAGATGTCCAAAAATAAAACATGCCAACATGCACTGGACCTACAGAACTCCATTCAACAGCTTTTAAAGACAAACCACACTTCCACGGCTTGTTTGACTCCTGTTAGCTTCTGTTGCAGCTCAAGGTCCAAAAGAACATCCTTGGGAAAACAAAACCCATAAGATACTCAACATTGCTAGAAAAAGATGCAGCGGATCAAGTGAATGTCCCAACTCAAAGGACAACAAATGTATTCCAGACTCATGATGACGTTTCCAACAGACATGTAAAGTTGGACCCTCCTAACATCTGAAATACTTTAAAAAAAAAAAGAAAAGAAAAAAGAATCACTAAAGATGATGTGAACAGCTGATGATGGATGCACTCAGTTTAAAAAGAAAATGCAAATAATGTTTACAAGAATAATGTGAAAATGAGGCACTTTTAGAGGAATTAGGCTCAGTTAGCCAGCAGGAAAAAAAAAGATCCCGTTCGTGCAGCAAAGAGACCATTTCTGTCAAAGGACCATTGACATTTCAATTAAGAAACGTGGTTATGTACATAGCATGTACTACATAACAGCACATAAATAAAAATAAACCCAAGCCATGTTGTCCTCAACAGCATAATTAAACGTGACTAATTTACCAGTTTAATGGCCAGTAATATGCCACTTTGTACAGAGGCTGGCTTGATAATGAGAAAATGATTTCAGTGACTAAATTCTCAAAGCTTTTAATTACATTTTGCCCTGGGCTGAGGGAGCTGGGGCAAATGCAATTATGAACATGCATACCATTTAAAGCAGCCTTTATAAATTCAAAAGGTCTGTACACTAACGTTCAATTAAGGTAGCAGCATGACTGACATCAATTGGAAATCATTTTGTATTCAATGTAAATCAATTTCCATTGAATACACAATGATATGCTAAACACATTTGGACTATTGGATAAATACTGTCTTGACTCATATTTTCTCAGCAGTTATTCTTGCCTTAATATTCTCTTGAGGAAACATGCAGCTTTTCATTGAAAGTCAGGCCGACTGTTAGCACTTGGTGAGGAGAATCACACACGTCTCTGATGTTTTCTGTTCATGTGTTCTGGCAAGTAAAGTCTTCATATGAAAAAAAAATGCACATTATTTTAATATGTAAAATATAAAAAAGTTTATCTATTAATGTTTACTGGTAGGGTAATTGTAAAGTTCCTATTATGTTGTATAATTGATAATGGACTCTGTCTCGGATAAAATTTCTTTAGCTGTCAGATTGTAAGATTGTATTTGCTGAGCTCACCGACAGCCCCGTCTACCCCTCCTCTCTTGGTTGTCTGTGTACCGATTCTGGGTTGAATTAATATTTTAAGTGTGTTCAGTTTCTTCTCTGGATTTGACCTAAAATAAGCAGTGGAACAAATTTGGATAGTTGGAAAACTGCCACCTTCTGTAGTTTGCAATCAATCCAGACTGAAGTCAAAGAAGGTGAAAAGATTTCAGTGAATAATTGAGCCGAGTTCTCCGTGTACTGCTGTCTTGACTCTATTTGAGTTCTGTTGTCGCTCTTATTCTAATGCCGTCTCCCCGACTGTCTCTGTCAAACTACTTGGTCCAGTGGTAGATAGATTTCTATTGTTGGAGGAGAAAGTGATCGGACCATCAGCAGTGTTGTTTTCCTTTACTCCTCCCTAACAATGTAGACTTGAACTAGTGTTGTTGTAAAATAATCATCAAATAAAAACATTGCTTGAAGATCTTTACAATGAAGACTTCTCTATCTGTGCTGAATATTGGGTAATGACCACACTTTGACATGGGTGGTGCGCTACAGTTAGTCCATTAAACTGCATGAATTTAGAAATACAACAAGTAGATATAAGGTTTAGGATCTTGCATTTTAATGGTGTAGTTAATCTTTCAATGAGTATTAAACAAACTAGAAAATGTATTGATCGAGTGCACAAAAAGAACGCTGAAGGAAGAAAGTTAGTTCAATCTCTGACTTTGGCCAGTGTAAAATATAAATAAAAGGCAAGTAAAATACAATGCAAGTTATATATTTAAAGTGATATCAATCCAGTGTCAGTCCATCCTTCCTTCTGTCAGATATTAAACTATGGGAGAAAAGGTGATGTGAGAGGAAAAAGAAACAGCAAGGTGAAGAAAAGCATCAAGAGAACGAAGCGGTGAGAAGAAGGTCAAATTGAAAGAACAACAAACATACAAGTAAAATATATGAGAATCTGCAGGGAGACAAAGAGTAGGGCAGCAAAAGGGACAGAAAAAGAACAACGTAATCTGAAAAATCTGAAAAATAAAAAGCTGCGTGGAGACATAAGCCATCCCCAATGAATAAGCAGGCCATTATCCTGAAGAATGACGGCCTGGGGCGGTGATTATGCTGCTATTATATCTTTAACAGCATGGTTTGTCAAAACGCACAGACCCCCAACCCAACCGTGCTCCTACACACACTCAAACACATGCACACACGCACACGCACACACACACACACACACTTGGGGAAACTGGGCATCTCTTCCACATCCTCCAAAATGTGCCCTTGCTCTTCCCACAGTAAACTTCACATGTATCGTCCTGTCTGTGTGACATTGCTCTGCTCTTAATTGAATCGGCCTTTAACATATATTTTCCCTTCAGTGTGTGTAAATAACAAATCCACCTCGGCGGCTGCACCGAGCCATATTTCCAACCGTTATGAATGGCTGCTTTCCAAAAATTGGATAGAAGGGGATAATGATCTCACCAGATTAGCAGCGTTAATATGGGTGTAACACCTCACCCTAACCTTGTTGTGTTTTATTACACCACATACATATGTGTGTCCTCGGCCAAGGGCATCCCGATTGTGTGACTGATAAGATTGTGGTGTGGATATGCAGCCGGAGTGAATGTCCTTGTTATCCAGGAGAGGAATCTGTGCACGGCTGGATTTCCTCCCATGGGGCTCTGGACCGGAAAACATAACACAATACTCTTGTTCCAAATGTTCTCTTTTTTCTTAACACCCATCCCCCAAACACACACACACAAACATACAAACACACACACACAAACACACACACGCCCCGAGGGTTGAACAAGGATTGCTAGATTGTACTGCTGCAGGGTCAAGTGTGTTGAGCCCTTGGTGCTGGATCAGGTGCTTCCATCTCTAACACTCAGGGCTGTATATTCACCACTAATGCCATAACCACCTATTTATGTGCACACACGCATCTCCATCTACTTTCCTTTAAGGAAGTGGTGACATGTGTGCGTGTGTGTGTGTGTGTGTGTGTGTGTGTGTGTGTGTGTGTGTGTGTGTGTCTGTGAAAACCTATAATGGAAACGATGCCACAATACGAACCCGATACTTTAAAATTCAGACATTTTTTCAAGAGTCCTTAACTTCTCAAAAACGTATTTCATAAAAGTAACTTGTAAACATGTAGTCAAATTATTGCAGTGTTCTTTTTTTCTCTTTGCCACAGAGTTAAGACTGCAATAGAAACGTCAGCTTTACATTTTCACACACATCCAAACAAGAGAGTTTTGTATTTGACCCACACTAGTTTGCTGTATCTTTTGCTTTGACTCTCCTTTTCTCACACACGCACCAGCACACACGCGCACGCACGCACGCACGCACGCACACACACACAGCCCCCCAGAGCAAGCCCCCCACACAAAAATCACAGTGTACCATTCAATCAGTGCGTTTTTCTCCCTCTTCTCCATGGTTCTCTTAAAGGTTTTAACCATGGCGAGAATGAAAAGTGCCAGCGTTAGAAACCTCGGCCCATTGAGGAGGTGACAGGGTCTGCCAGAATATGATCCTAATCCTATTTCCAGCATTCTTTTAGCCCACTGGCATTGCCATTTCGCCGCATATTCTCTGAGCTGTCAGGCCCAGGGAAATCCCTCTAATAGCGCATTGCCCAGATACACATCAAAGCCCTCCTGGAAACCACCAGCGGGAACTTAAGGGTGAGCGAAGCACAAGTATAATCAGGCTCACAGCTGCACATATAGTACACATGCACAAAAAGCTAAAACTTGGTTGGACGCTATAATTCACACAGAAATTTAACTCATACATGATGCTTGAAGGTGTCAAAACTTTTCTAAAAAAATCTGACATGACAACAATCCCTGGCCTTTTTCCCCTGAGGTGTTTTAAACTGACTTTTATCTTGATATGTTAATTCATTACGAGAGAGGAAGACGGAGCGGAGATGGTTGGTTATACAGATGGAAAAACAAAGAAAGGAGTGATATCAAGAGGCAAACAACAGGTGGCTAAACTGTGTATCCTGGGCCACCCTCCTTTAGTTCCACTTCATCTTCCATTTTCTTCTTGTCCTTTTTTTCTTAAACACTCTGACTGCCATCTCGCCCCTCCCCGGGTAATCTTCTTAGAGAGAAGAAAACCCCCATTCTCTCTCTTCTTAATCTGTCTGCAGCCTAAACCTACGGTTGCATTTCCAATGCGGGCCTCACTAAACCGAACGGGAGTGCTCTCAGCCAGTTCATGGAGTATCGAGTCTGTCGGTGAAAGCTTAGCTCGCACGCCGAAAACATGTCTGGTGTACGACGCTTGTTGGAAGCAATATAAAAAGGAGATTCTTTAGTTCTGAGGGGAAACACTTTTAGCAGTTTGTTGCAACAAAAACATTGAGTAAATTTCTCACATGGTATCATTAAATGTTATTTAAAGCAACCATGTGGGACTCCCTGTATCTTCTCAGGCCTGTCCCACTGTATGTCCATGTGAAATACACATTAGGAGTGGGTGATATGGATAAAATCCTGTATCAAAGATTAGGTTATTCTAGTTTCTGGGAAATTAATGGGGAACATCTTTATGGAAATATTAAGCAAAGGAGAACGAGTAATCAGTAAAAAATTAAATACCTGACAAGATGCTTCATTATGTTAATACTAGTGGTGAAAAGTAACTAAGTACATTTAGTCAAGTATTGCACTTAAATGTTACTTTTTTCTTACTTAACTTTTTCCTTTTTCCAACATTCAGGGGTCAAGATTATACTTTTTTACTCCACTGCATGACAACTGCAGTTACTTTTGAGATTAGGATTTTACATTTAAAAACAAACATTGATGAGTTTATAAAATACAACATTGTTAAGATTGAACACAGTGGTTCCAAATGGTTTTGAAAAAATAAACAAGTGATTTCCCATTTCCAATTATCGAATATTTCACCAAAAAAGTCCAAAAATGTATATAATTTTGAATAGCAGAAATTTGGGTATTCTTCTTTCCTCTCCCATTAATTATCTCATGACCCCTAAGATTTATCTTGTGACCCTTTGGAGGGGCCTGCCCCATGGACCCCTAGGTTGGGAACCATGTGACTAAACTACCGGACTGTACAGTATATACAGAAGTTAAACCTATCTCAATCTCAAACAGCTATAACAGTAAAATGCTTCTTGCACACTGATGGATCATTATTAATGATTTGATAGTTTCACCAGTACATCAGTCACTGGGGCCACTGGAATTTAGGACTTTTACTTGTAATAGAGTATTTTCAATTTAATGTATTTTACTTCTGAATACTTCCTCCACCACTGGTTAATGCAAAAAATAAATAAATAAATAAAAGAAAAAATAAAAGAAAATCATAAAATGACCAGCACTGAGAGTGAGAGATTTGACTGGTTGACTTGCAGGTTTGTCCACAATGGTTTAAAACAACCACAGATGTTAAAGAGGTTCTTACCTCAGCATTAATAGTAGAGAAACAAACTGCCAGTTGACAAATCAGAAACTGTCATGCAGCCCAACCCCACGACTTAATGTAAAAAGTATCATGAAAATCATGACAGAATATAAATTGGCCTCTAGAGGACAGTACGAGATCTAGGTGATCCATCTCTCTCCATCTCCTCAGTCTGTCATTGTGCTGTAATATCAGTTTGAGTGAAAATGATCCTTTCACTACTGTCAATAGACAACTGGATAACAGAAACAGAAATCTGCTTTGTTTTTTTATGAACAACTGTAATCTGGAATTTAAAAAAAAAACAAAAACAAAAAACATATAGCATTTTCTATGCGGCCTGTGGCTGAGACCAGCAGAGAGCACGTCCTGCTGGGCTCAGTCTACACAGCGCCTCTGTGACAAAGACCCCCGCTGGTGAAATCCTCTCTCCCACCACCAACTGGGACACACGTCTGATCTTCAACCCCTGGGCTGGAAAAAAAAAAAAAAAAACCCGCCACAGCCAGAACAGCAGCATCTGCTTTAAATACACAGACTAGAACTACGACACTGTTTGCCTCCAGGTAAAGACACCTTAATGTTCATCTCCAACCACTGAAGACACAAAACTGAATCATTAACTCTAGAAGTGGCAGGTTCTCAGCCCGTTTAGACAACTCCAATAACTCCTGTACGTCCTTTAAGTTTCAGTCACTTTCTGCTTCTGCTGTCATTCAACAACCTACTGTAGGTGCTCAATTTTAACATATAGAGTTCATTACTAAAGGGTACAAGATCATTCATTCAGTAGCTTGTGTCATATGAGGTGAAAATATATGACAATGATGGTGTTTTGCATCTTTATTGACAAAAAAAAAAAACACAACATTTAAATTGTATTTGAAAACACAACAGAAGCACGGTTGTGTAGTTAAATCCATAATATTCATCTTTCTAATACACAGCATACGTCTCCCTAACACAGGCTTACACACAAGGACACAAATGCATAGCGCTTCATTGGCTAATTCAATAATAAAGCGGGCAGCCAGTCGAGTCTATAGACAGGCAGAATAGAGAGTAAGTCATCTCTAACAGTCTGCCGTCTCCTGAGTGTTAAAACATGTAAATTTATGTAAGAGCCCATAGGAAACACATATTTACAATACGTTTAGGTAATCACAAGATGCGCGAAGAGGCATTCAGGGCCCTGGAGACGAAAGCAGTCAATACAAAAATAGTTTTTATGTGTCATTAATTCCCTCTGCATTCCCCGATACATCCCCCTTTTACCGCAGTAATACAGTAATCACTCACAATCGCACAGAAAATTATCTGCACTCATCTGTGGAATAAAAAAGCGGAGGGGCAAAACAGGGCGAGACGTCCCATTTTAGCTCTCTGCTGCCTCTTTAATGTTCATCTGGCAGCCGCATGGCTGCCGTCCATCCCTGCACGCGGATGGGAGCCAGCTCCTGCACTTGGAGCAGCTTAATGACAGTGGGATATGGTTGGTGGACTCGTTAGACACACACATACACACTCGCGCACACACACACCTTTTTCACGCTACATTGCCTGGGCAGGACAACATAAAGGGTCATCGGCGGTGTGATAGAAAAAGAGGCACCTCTGCGCTCACATTAGGTTGTGATGAGAGGAAACGTTTCACCTCTGGGTGATGTCAATGCAAAATGGAGTCAATCCAGCTATAATAATGAAACTTGCACAGATTCAGATGTGAGAAGCCAAATGGTCAAATAAGTCATTACCTGCCTGTTCATTATGGCCTCCTTCCACACAGCCACATATCGCATTATTAGGCAAAGCCATCAAACCTGATGAATAACCATAGAACAAACCAAACCCATTTTCACTGGAGAGTTAAAGAGGGCAGGTAATTCTGACAGGAATTTGTGTCTCAGTAATGTGATTCCACTACCTGAAACATTCATCTCTATGTGTCCAACAGAGAGGAAGACATCCTGTATGTACTGGAGTTCCTGTAACCTTTCCAGACATATGCTCAGTGTCCTCTAGTGGCCACAGAATATACAGGATACTTTGACTCTTGAGCTGTTGTTGCCACCTATGGGGCAAAAATAAAACTGCAAGTAAAATACACATCCAGTCCGCAGTACATTATGTTGTGTTGAAAAATGTTCTCAAATAATTCAAGAATCCCAAAACTGAGATGTGCCATTCCTGTTAGCTTACAAGTCTCAAAAAGTCTCCATGACAACCTGTAGCTCAGCGCTGTCCAGTGTGTCCACAGTTATGTCCATCAACTGGATACTTCGTTTACTCCAGTGTTGAAAAAGTCAGCAGTTAAGTCCATCAACTGTGCTCCAACAGGTACAGTTTGTAAATGTAGATATGTATTAATCTGGCAGCGGAGAGTCATTCAATACCCGAGAGACCAGAAGTCCACAAGCTTCTAGATAAACTTGGTCATCAGTCCGAAGTCTACGTCAGCCTCCTTAGCTTGCACATGTAGATAGGCCCAAAGTTAGCGGCTAAATGTGGGATGACCATCTCACCCAGGTGGAGGTCAGGAGCGAAGTGAAAGGTTTTCCTAAACATGTGTGTGAAGGGCTGCAGATCAACAACCTGGAGGTGGATATGAATAGGAAAGGGGGGAAAAGGAAAGTCAACGAAAAGGTCAGTTGATTTGGTGTGGTTTGGGTTTCCGGAGTCTTAATCAAGAAATTCCTACAGTTGCACCGAGGACAAAGCAAAAACATCAAGGGAAAAATCCTTGAAATCCAGGAATGTAATAAATAACAAAAACACGAAGGCAAATAGGAACATGCAACACAAACTGCTGCAGTGGAAGTGTATTTGGAGATGTGAGGATGCAGCAGCTCGCACTGTGGCTCCAGAGATGACTGATTGTTCACTGAGCGCTGTTGTCCTGGGGTGACAACGGCTAGCTCTTTGGTAATGTACCAATGGGTCAGCTGTCCAACGCATTTTGAAATACATTACATTTTCTTTTGGAATATTTTGTCTCAGAGTTGAAATATAATTTGTTGCTGCCAGTTTGTCTGAAGACAAAGCTGAATACATATTAAATACACATTTTATTGGACAGTTTAAAAACAATGCTGTGTCTGTTCAAATATGTACAGATACTGTATATCTCCACAACTCAATGAAAATAATTATATAAAAAGGAAAATGGTCAGAGGCAGTGGGGTTTATATATTTTAGAAACTGAAAGTTGTTGTTTATCCAAATCAAGCCCACCACTCCCCCTAGTGGCCCAGAGCACTAGTGCAGCAATTCTTTCTACATGTGTTTTCCCTATTTGTATGTGCTTTGGTGTTTGTTGCATTTCTGGTTTCCCTTAATGTTTGTGCTTTCCCGATTGTATTTGCTTTGTTTTAGGGCCATCCATAAATTTCCAACATTTCAGAAGTCACATTCCTATTAATAGTCTTCCACTACTCTGAAGTGCGTCTCTACTATACAGCTTCTTGTTGATACTGACAGTGTGTGTGTCTGACTCACCTCAAGGTGGATGCCGTGCTTCTCTCGAGCCAAGTGGATGGCCTGTTCCACCACACTCAGGTTCTGGATTTGAGAGAGTGTGCAGGTGGAGTACATGATCTCCCCACCGGGACACGTCGCTTCGATTCCTGCCCTGCAGGATAGAGAGAGGGTTTGTTCGTTTCATATACAATAATCACGTTCACTTGTAGCTTTACAGTGGAATCCTTTAGTGTATATAGTGACGTAATGGAACCACATCAACTGTAGTAACGCCACTTACACCATCTTTAATACTCACAGCAGCAGTGCCAGCTGTACTTGTGGCAGCCTCCGTCTCTCTCCAGTCCTGGTCTTACTGAAAATATTGTTGTCGTCCTCCATGAGAGAATGTCTGTCTGTAGTGCAGGGAACGTCAACAAGGGCCTGAACACAGAGAATAAAGGAGGAGGTGGAGAAAGTGGTAGGATTTGGATAAATATGTAATTAATTCAGACGCTGCTAATCTGTCATTTTTTCTGAAAATGGATAAACATGATTATGTGTCTTACTCTGTCAAAACTGTTCCTTTCGATATCCCCCCACCTGGTGCCGTCAAAGGAGGTGATGCGTATGTTCTCGTCAGTCAAAAACTCTTTAGGAACATAGCTTTGTAGGACCTTTCTCAGTCGCAACGTCCGAGACACTGAGGTGTCATTTACACACAAAAACCCTTCGACATAAACACAAGTGGTGAATAGTTAGTACAACTGCCAACAGAGCAACAAAACTACTTTTCACAAACAGAGAACAGGAAAGAAAGATTTTGGCATGGGCCAAGTGGGCAAAATAGAAACGTGAGAGCAGTCCACTTACTGATAGCCTGGGTCTGAAGTAAAGCCAGGGTCTTGCCTCCTGGAGCAGCACAGAGGTCAAGCACATTGTGACCTTCCTGAACATTCAAAGCGAGACAAGGCAGCACAGATGCCGCGTCCAGCAGGTAGTAACCCAGCAACCTGTACGTGTCTGGTCTTAAGAGAACAAAAGGGAACTGAGAGTCAAAACACTCATTTGGAAGTTAACATTTTGACTCACAGCTGCAATAAGTACAGATATCAAAATGTTTCAGATTCTGAATTTTTGTCCATTAAGTTGAATAAGATCACCTCGCAGGCTTGAATCTTGTGATATCCCCTCTTGGAAACACGACACACTTGATGTTAGGACTAAGTTGTGGGATGTTAGGACTAAGTTGTGGGGGAGATAGCTGCTGACCGTCACTGTCAGATTTCTTCACGGGAACATCACCTGATTCCTCCTCAGATACTTGTTCCAAGCATGGCTGAGCTGCAGAAGTGATGAACAATATAGAATTAAGCAGAGAGATTTGTTTCACTGCAGTTAGATTTTCTCAGTGAATTCAGACATAAAATTACATCCGTCATATTCAAGAATAGTCACTGTGAACATAAATGTGTCTTTTACTGCTCTGAAAGACGAAAACTCTAAATGTCTGACATTCACTATCAAAACTTGAAAGCACAGCGCTTTCTCTACCAGGGTTAACTAATAAGCCAACATTGGCAGGTTTACTGTGAACTCTGGAAATGCACGCCCACCCTCTGTATCTGCGTCGTTGATGAAGTCTCTGCATCCCTTTTCTTGGAGATCTGCCAGAACAGCATCATGGGAGAAATTGTTGAGCAGGGCTCCATATTTTCTCTCTGACAGCAAGGCGACTCGAACTGATGGCCACATCTTCCCCAGCTGGACACTGTAGGTGGCATCAAAGTGCTGCAGGGCCAGACTGGTAGGGGGGTACTTGGGATGCGTAGCAGCCTGATCAAAAAGAAGAGAGGTAAATACACTGATTTTAAATGTTTTAAGTAAAGTAAAACGCTTACAATTAGGGGCACGATGAGAGAGGATTAGTTTTATATTCCTCAGTGAAAAATAAATAAAAATTAAATGAAACAGCAGAAACATCATGAAGTTCATTTATGTCTTACAGTTGAAAATTTAAGGAATACATAGTGCCATTTATTACATTTACACAGTGGGTGATACTGTCATGCATCAACACAGCTGTTAATTATTTACATTTCAGGAGCATACATGCGTGCACATAGTTATTGTGAAAAGTCAAGGACATTTTGTAGAGACATTTACTGCATGTAGCTTTGTAGCTAGTAATTATTGACAGATAAAGATCTTTTAAACCTCTGACTGTGTCCAATTTTCACTGATAACGAGAGTTATCAACAGCTTTATGTTTTCCTGTGTTGACAACTTACCCATTTTTCTTTCACTCGGTTTCGCTTGGGCGTCAAACTCCTTAAATCTTTTACTTTTCTCAAGAGAAATCTGGTGTCCATGAGCAGCGCCATCGTGCCGTGCGACAGCTTTTAAGTCCGACTTCGCTCGGACGGAAAAAAGAAACGTTCCGGATGCATGAACTATTCGAATGGGCGGGTCTTACACACAAGCTAGGTCGATGATTGGACCAAAGCAACGTCAATAATCACTTTTCCTCAATCGGAAGTTTTATCCGGTGATCCTTCTAGTTAATTCCTGTGTGTGACCGACCTCACGTCCTCAACGAAAAGCGGGGCTGCTGCTGAGCTGGGACTTCTGTCCTCCGTCGGGATTTTGTGGTGAATTTCAAAGCCGTAATCATGGTTTTCGAGAGGAAAATGCTCACGCACGGCGACCCCGACGACGAGGTAGTGAAAAACATCGTTATAGTATATATACAGTCGTTTGCTGTAAGAGTATTTGTCTATGTTACCCAACAAGTTAGCACATTAACGTTAGCCCGACTCTGCTGTTAGTTTGGTGGTGTAACGTACGAGTTCAGTGTCAGCTCTTTTAAAGACGTTTAAGCTTTATTTGACGTATCAAATGTGGACAGCAGCTAAAATTGTAACAACTGTACACGAGTTTAAGTTATAAGAAAGATGTGACTTGTTATTATGATGACTGGTCCAGGTACCCCCTGTCTGTTATATGTAACGCCTGCGAGTTGTTCCTGTTAACTTGGGTTTTCATTACTTAGTTAACGTGGCTTTAACACGACAAGTAGCCCTAAAATGTAATGTGTGTTGAATATATTATACTATTGTAATTTTAACATCATTCAACTCTTAATTATCAGACCAAACTAATAAAATGTCTACTGGTATTATTGGCACTGACCAGGAGGAAGATGCACCTGCCGAGGAGGAACAGGAAGAGGAAGAGGAGGAAGAAGAGGAAGATATGGTGGTAAGTTTGTTTTTTATATATTTCATTAACCTTCATTGTGTCCGAATATTAACTCACCTGTCATCACACACAAAGCTCTCTGAGGAAACACTACAAAAGTATGGACAACATAAAAGACTAAATATAATGCTATAGACAGTAATGAAAAATTATTTTAAAAGTCACTTTCTCATTGTTCAACTGCTGCAATACATGATGATAAAGTATGTATTGTGCAGCTTAATCATATGGTGTCAATCACACATATAAGCACTTTTTTTTACTGTAGTTATTTGACCTACACAGCCATGTTCAAGCTCAAGATTGTACTTTAAGTCCTGGCCCAATTCCCCCAATATATCACATTTCTCTCATGTCCCTCTCAGGACCCTCTAGAAACAATACGAGCCAAGTGTGAGCAGGCTGAACACTGTGTGCACTACAAGGAGCGTTTGGAGGTCTGTGAAGCCAGGGTCAGCTCCAGGTCCAACACAGTGGAGGACTGCACAGAGGAGCTCTTTGACTTCCTACATGCACGGGACCATTGTGTAAGTGTGCGACACAAAGAGTGGAAATGGAGGAAAACATACATGCACCCTTCTTTATTCTGCATATGAAGGACTAGAATGCATATGACTTGTTTTGTGAAGAGCTCAATCTGTGCCCTATTTGTCTAACAATGATAATGTGAATTGTGTTCTTTCTCATTATAGGTATCACACAAGCTGTTCCACAATGTGAAATGACCTGCCTGCCCAGTTCTCACCATTTGCAGCTGTAGAATCTACTTAACTGCTAAAGTAATAATAATAATCAGGACAGTTCTGAAGTCTGTTGTTGTCTCCTGTGTATTAATGTAAATTACCTTCCTTGGCTTCCAGGACTAAATACACCCCACCCTTTTTGTAGATGGTGCATGCTTGTAAAAAGGGTCAGAAGCAGTTTGTAAATTGTGAATCACTGCTTGTATGGGTGATGAGCACATCTGTCTTAAAAGGCTGTGAAAATACAGGCTCAGACTTTCATAATGTGGTTACTTCATATGCAATAGCAAGTATTCTGCTCCAGTAATGGAGTTTACCTCAGGTTTGATCATGGATTCATTGCTCTGACCAGAAAAATTAAAGATTTTCATTAGTTTCCAGTTTGTCTGAATTGCTCCTTTTCATTTTTTTACACTCACCTGTGCTAAAGAAGTGAGTGACTGTATATTCACTATACCAGGCTACCAAAGCAATGAAGCCTGTTTGCTTGATCTTTTTCTATGAGAAAAAGAGGCTGGGTGATATGGACAAAATTAATATTGGAGTAATTCCAGCATTGCATGTTATGTTTGATCCTGTCATGATATTTAGTGTCAGTTTTAGTAGACTAGTGATTACAGTATCTCAAAATGACAAATTATGGTCAACCAGACCTGTTGGGACAGACTTGTAGCCAAATTCAGGCAAAGATACCTTTTATAGTTGACATTTGTTCAGACAACCTAAGTGTTCCTACTACACAAAATATGTAGTGTATGCACATCCCCATATTGCATCAGGTGCATCAGCAATAAGGCACTCACACTGAATGGATGCTCGCACTACTTAATGAATACCAAAATTAGATAGATTTTATTTTCCATTTCCAAGTAAAGCAAAGAGCAATCTTTGTTTTGAGTTCACCAAGCTAAGTGTTTTCATCTATTACTTTTCCATTAACTAAAACTTTAGGCAACGATAAAAGAATAGTCAACACAATTTTATGTTGACTAAAACTTTATTTGAATACATGCTAAGAATCATAATAAATAAAAATATAAATAAAAAAAAAAAAATCAAGGCATTTTAAAAAAATAACCTCTCAAACAACAAAAGTTACAGTAATGAACACATGGTGGCAGTGTGACCTCAAGTACTGCAAGTTAAAACAGGAACCATGAGGTAGAAGGTGAATGTAGATTTCTGTGACTGCAGACATGTTATACAACCATATTGTCCCCAAAATAATAATTAAAAAAAACTCATGCACACAGTGCATAACATTACAGATGATGGAGAGGCATTCTGCTTCTCACCAAGAGTTTTCTTTGTTGCAAACAAAATCGTCCATGGAAGCCTGGAGACAGTAGAGACAAAGTCATTTTACAAGATCCAATAATAAATGAATGCGTCTTAAAGGATTTGCTACAACATGTAATATAGTGATAATGTCTTGATTGTGTTTTTGTCAGTGTTATTATTTTTGTGACTCTACAGGAATACTAGATTTATGTGTTGTATTCAATGCACTCTAAACACTTTAATGCGAGTACTGTAATTTGGTACATGAATGATGATGAAAAGTAGACTCACTATACTAACCTGCATGAGCAGCCTCTCCTTCCTCAGTTTCTTATAGAAGAGGAGAACATCTGGATCCGAACGCACCACACGGGGGTCAAAGTCCATGACCCTCAGACCCTCCAGGCTCCGAGCTCGAGACAAGGCTACGTAGGCCTGTCCGCTCTCAAAGACACGTGCCAGAGAGATCTCCACGCAGTCCAGTGTCATTCCCTAAAAGAAATGATTGATGACTTTACTGGTCAGAACAAACCAACATATGAAAACCATTTTACAACCCAGAATACATTGGAATTTTGTAGTTCATTTTGCAGCTGGATGGATGTTCTAGTATCCAACATCAAACAGGAACCCCTGACTCTGACATGTATTCACACCTCATTAGTTTATCAATTTAATACTATGTCACACATTAAACTAATTGTGTGTGTGAGTTTGAAGTTAAAACCAGTCACCTACTGCACATACAAACACAAGATTGATCTGTATTGCACATCTTATTTTGAAGATTCATGGCCAATCCCCCCCCCCCCGTGTTCTCCAGTATTCTTTTATATCAAATCATTACCTCTGGAGGGATGCAGGTGTGGGATTTCGTTTTTATGTCCCTGTGCCTCAGCGCCTCTGCTGCAGATCAAACACTGGTGACACATTGGTTGTGACCAATGAACTCAATTACCCAAAGGGCCCCGTTTCCTCTCTATAACCAATTTCATAGTCCGAGGTCAGGATATAGGAGTTTGCTGTGAGAGCCCAGTGGGAGCCGTTTGTGCGGCAGCTGGGTGGTGATGACACAGTTACAGCTCATTTGTGGATAACACTCATACTGGGTTAGTGTTCAGGGTATCTGACCAAGCCTCTGTAGCAATTTCCGTACCAAATGTTATTGCTGCACCTAGTCTCACCTACTCCGAGTTTCTCTTTATATAATTTTGAAACTGAACTTTTTCTTCCAATACTATTATCTGCCTTTATTTTACAGCACACAGAGATATGACAGGGGAAGAGAGAGAGCTGTATCTGGGAAGTTTCGATTACATGGCTACATCTTAAACCCCTGGACAAAAAACAATTAAAAATTTGACCTGGTGATGGCACTAAATGAAACGTCAGAGAATGATGAAAGTTATAACAGTTCACCTTGAGGGGAACATGAATGTCTGTTCCAAATTTTATGGTGATTCAATAGTTGAGATATTACACTTAAAAGCACAGAGTCAGCCTCCTGCTGGAACATTATCACAATTCATCCATTGAATTAACTTATAATAGAAGCGATCAATGTCTGGACACAATGGTTGTTGCAGAGTGGTGCACCACTGGAACAACAGACATTTCTATCCCACACGCCGCTAACGTGACTAAAAAGATGCAGTGATTAATGCTTGTATGTTTTCTGTTCTCACTACTGTGCTGCTTAAATAAATACATCTGCTGATTATTTCCATATTAAAATAGTCTACATTTATGACATCACTCTCATCTTAACCTTGCAATAATGCGATAATGTGGAGAAGAATGATTGCACTTCAAGGCAAGCTTAGACACTGCACTCAAACTGTCAGCCATTTTTAGCTGTCTGGAAGCGACTACTAAACTAAAACTGCCATTCATCAAGTGAGTCATTCATTCAAGAGAGACCCACACAAAACACTGGTGCCCCATGGCAACACTGAGCAACGTCTTCATCAAAGAGAAAGAAAGGTCATCAGCATTTTTCTTTTAGACATTTGTACACAAGATGTATCCAGCCCGCTGCGTGACTGAACTTGTGCTCACCTGGCTCTTGTGGATGGAGATGGCCCAGGCAAGTTTGAGCGG